GGCTGATATATACGTCTGGGAGGAAGGTGATGGTTGCATGGTATCAGGCACCATTAGCTAGTTTTCCAATAGGTGGCTCTGTTCCAAAATAGTTTGGTAATAGGCAGTTATGGAAGTGGGTGTTAGGTCCCCTTTTAGACAAAGCTTTCCTGTAGTGATGTAACAGGTGATGTTAGTGCCCATAAAAATGCCAGGATGGGGGGATTCTTGTGAGATGGGATATGGGAGCCAAACACCCCACAGCCATATGAATGTAGTCTGCTACTGCAAGAGCCCTTCATGGAACTGAAGCACCAGGTGAGGTAGTTTAACTAAAAAGGAAACCAGCTGAAGTCACCCTGACTCGTGATACGGTCTGATGTGGACTGTGGGCAGGATTCAGAGGGCCTTTTAGACCTTTGTGTTTTTCTGATGTGAGTACTAGTACACCATCGAGGAGAGAGTAACATCTGGGAGCTTGCCCGGCTGGGCAGAGCTATGGAGTGGGACAGAGAGAGAGGGACTGATATACTACAGAAAGGCACCTTGTTAATCTCAGTTTGGCAGAAGCAAAATTCTGTAGTTCGAGTACATTGTACTAGTACAGTCCAGTGGGTCCCAACCTTATGGTGGTCCCAAGAAGGAGTCAGATGAAAGATGGCCTTATAATTATGTGTTGACATTCCGTGCCTGAGTGACTGCTGTGTGTCAAAGTAAAGTTACATGTCACTGCTATCTTTGAAGAGTTGTAGTAAAGTATGTAAAATATGCTTCTTGTGTAGACATTCCTTGCTTCTTCAAAATAAAGGCCTATGGCCAGGGATGTCATAAGCAGGCTTATGGCCAAGAGTTGGACACAATGTTGCAAAGGCTTCAATCTACCAGCAATCTGTCACTGTCCTATCCCAAAAGAATCGGGGTGGGGGCTGCAGTGAATTGGGGCCAACACACAGCCACTTACAGCCCCCTTAACATGCAGTTGACGTTTGCTGTTATAGAGTGAGGAGGCTTGTTTTCAAGAAATATAAAAGGCATTTCATTGCATAATTTTTTTTGTCCAATTATCACCTTTAGAGAAACAAAACAAAGTGTATATCAGAATTCATAGCGTTTCTATACTGTAAATGTTAATATTTTCCTTTTTTTTATCTTATTTATATGATAGGGGATATTGCTGGTGGTTGTAAGCTTCTCCGAAACCGATTTGAAAGCAGAGACCGTGAATGGGCAACTTACACTTGTGTGCTAGGTTACCATGTCTTTGGTAAGTGATTTCTACTTTGGCAATGGATATCTTGTTTATACTCAGTACTGTTCTTGCATGTTGGTACACACAACAAGACCTTTCACCAAAGCCCCCCTAACAGGGCAGTTAAAAAAATGGAACAGCCTGACAGACTGTCAGGTAGGCTGTACAAGGCCCTGTGATTTCTAACAGCAGCCCTGGTGACAGGCAGTCATTAACAGTATCTGACTATGCCCTCCCTTTTTTCCCAGTTCCTCCATTCATAGAAGCTGTACTACAGCTTCTATGAATGAAACAGGATCTATGAATGGGGAGGATGGGTGAATGCTTGAAAGGTCTATATCTTCCATTCATAGATCCTGTTTCATTCATAGAAGCTAGAGTACAGATTCTATGAATAGAGGAGGGGGCGGAAAGGGTGAACATGGTTGGGCACTATTGATGACTGCCTGATGAGACAACAGCAAAAAGGGACACATCCTACTGATGTGTCATGTGCTGCTTTTTGCCAGTAGTGCAAATATATGGTATAAGAGGTAATCTTTAATAATACAGGTTATGCTCAGATTCTTTAAAGTTGGCAACATTGGTATACCTTTGACATTGTATAACACTGTATAACCTGTGCTAATGTATGTATATCTGAATAGAACATAATGTACAAAACAAATATTTTGTATAAAAAAAGACAAAACATTTTCTTTGTATGTCTAATAGGTGTATGGCCAGAGGGGTCTGATGGGACAGATATCAATGCTCTTGCTCGCTCTCGTGATATGACCATGATCTCTGTTGCTGATGATTTCTGTAAAGTTCACCTTTTCCGATACCCATGCAATAAACCAAAGGTAAAGTGCCAGAGACGTCAAGCTGTTTTAGAAATGATAGTGCTAATAGTCTTACATGTGACAATGTCTAGTAGTGGCAACATATGAATAAAGTGCGCAAACAACAAAAATAAAAATCAGTACATACCCTACCAGTTAGCAAAGAAGACCCCTCTAGGTGGCTTTTACTTTTAAAACAAAGTAGTAGTTTGTAGTATAGATCTGTATATCTGGAAACTGCACATCAAAACGCCTGCAACATGCAGCCCCACTCTAAAAAACAACCTGTTGAGCAGCTGGAAGACATTTGTACAGGCCCGATATGGTTTCTACGGACAATAGCATGGACAGCAGCATTTGAATAGCACAGTCACAGCAGTACAGCACAATTCCACTTTCCCACTAGATTCCTGTGACCACTTGGCAGCACCTAACGGTTCTCTGGCTCGATGGTTGCTGGTTGCTAGGGGCAATGGCCATAAACATATCCTGGTCAAGCCCCCAAATGTAGCGTATCCCTGTGAGGGTCGCTGTGTTTCTTGGTACTCCTAAGCTCTGCACAGCCAGGCAACATACATTTTCCATACTTTCATCCACAGTCAGTGAACAATCCATGAGTTTGTTTTTTGTTATTTTACTTTATTAGGAGAATATAACTAGGGTAGGGTAATAGGGATTATGGGATGCCCAACTTAACTGAAGCCATCAGTCACTGCAGATCAGTAGCAACAGGCTCTTAGGGCCAGGAACTTGCAGCCCCTCTGAAATCAACTAGCTTCTTGTAACAGAGATATCTCTTCTCCCCTGTAGGAATGCTTCCAGCTCCACAGCCTGCAGACACTACCAGCCATCCTGGCTGCTCAGGAGATCTCCCAGGACAAGGATAAAGGATTAAGCACAGCACTGTCCTTTGAAAGTTTGCTAAATGTGGCAGACTGTGGTTGCTGTGGTTCTGCCCCCTTATTTTTTATCATCGTGGTGTTTTGTATGTTGTATGTTTTATGTAATATGTGATTGAGATGACCTTGTCTTACTACTTTTAAATGTTGTTACATAATTACTGAAGTCATTAAGTATTGGATTATATAATACATTTTATTTTTAATGACACAGATATATTATATGCTGTGAAGATTCATACTGTCATAATGTCATCGATACCCTGTTCGATATTTAACATAGGTGCTTTCATTTTTTATATACTGTATGTAGCACATATAAATATATATGTACACATTTTTGGTGACTGTGTAACTTTTCATGTTTATTTCTCCGCTAGGCTCCAAGCCATGTGTATTCTGGCCATGGGAGTCATGTAACCAACGTTCGCTTCACTCATAATGACAGTTACCTCATCTCATTGGGTGGAAAGGATGCAAGCATTTTTCAATGGAGAGTTGTGAGGGGAGCCAGCCTGCCTCGCAGCCAGTCATTGTCCTCAGCCTCTTCACTGGAGATTGCCTCTTGAGTCACATTTTCAATTAGAAGACTTTCGGCCAGAGATACCCCATATAACGACGAGCCAGATCCCATTATACTCAACCAATATTGTGCGTTTAAGCTTTTTTTTTTTTCTACTGAGCTCCAACTCTAAATGAAATGCAGCAAAAGATAATCTGAGCCAGTCTTAACTGAAGACACAGCTTCTGTCACCTGTACTACTACAGCTGACCTTTCCAGCAGAATATCCCCAAGAATAACAAGGTACAGAGAAATGTGAAATTTGTCATAGTCAACTCAGCGCTGCATGTACCATGGACTGTTCCATTACGTTGAGCACAGTATGTTCTGTAACAGTGAAATCCTTGAAGAGTGCCAGAGAATCCTTCCTGGATATCAGACCAAAACGCTGAACTTGCCAGGAATTCAAACACTTCAAGGCAAAACTACTGAGAAGACATTTTAGCTATATTGTAGATCAAAAAGTTCTGATGCAGTAGAAGCTAATCTACCTGATGGAAATACAGGTAGCATAATAAATGCAGTGAAATAGATTAGAATCTCCTCCAGTGGCTGTGAAATGCAACATACCTTGCTAATACAAACATTCAAAGCGCAATCATACAAATACTAAACCATGCACTATGCCTGATTGAATGTTAGAGAAACCTGTACTACTTTTATGTGCACTGTATACACATCAGCAACACGCTCTAAAAACTTCTGTCCATAAGCCATTTCTTTGATGGTGAAATTTCACTTCTAGAACTTACAAGTGAACCTGTTATTGCTCCCGTTGCTACTGATACTGACCTTCTCCTCCACTCCATGTACCTGCTGGAGCCCTGTAGCATATCTGGTAGGCGCAGGCATGGAGGTGCATGTCTCTCCTCTCCACCCTTTCTGGATGAGTGCTGGCTGCTTAACCACTTTAAGTCCGGACACTTTTACCCCCTTCCTGTCCAGGCCAATTTTCAGCTTTCAGTGCTATCACACTTTGAATGACAATTGCGCGGTCATGCAACACTGTACCCATATGCATTTTTTAGCATTTTTTTGAGACAGATAAAACTTTATTTTGGTCGTATATATTCACCACCGGGATTTTTATTTTTTTGCTATATAAATGAAAAAGTTCAAACATTTTGAAAAAAAAAGTGTTTTTCTTATAACATTTTGCAAATAAATAATCTTTCTTCATAAATCTTGGCCAAAATGTATTCTGCTCTCTTTTTAGTTAAAAAAAATAACCCAAATTAGTTTATAACTATTATTAACTAATTATTTTTAAAAAAATTTTTTTTTTTTTTTATATTATTTATGTTTTTTTTTTTTTTAACACACTGTCACCCTAGCAGTACAGTGTCACCATAGTGACACTGTACTACTTGTGGGGGGTGATGAAGATTTTTTTTTTTTACACGGATTGCTTTTACACCCATAAAGGCTGTAAAAGCAATCATTTCTCTTTCTCTCTGGCTGCATTCTTGAAGCCATTGAGAAATACTGAGAGCTGTGATTGGTCACAGCTTGTCACATGGTACAAGGCTGTTGTGAATAGCCTTGTACAATGTGATCATTCACAGATTTCACTAGTAGTAAGCAATGATGTCAGAAGTGACATCTTGATTACTACTATTCATGTGATCACTGATTAGCCAATCAGTGATCATATGATCGGGACCTCACACAGAGGTGTCCGTACAGCAATCTGTGTTCCGCTGTGTCCGGAGGATTGCGGTGCCGCGTGTTCCCAGGGAGCGCTCACAAGCTAAAATGGCGGGCACCGTTTATGAATGGCAACCCGCCCCTGCACTGCTCCCGTCCAGACGTTTATATACATGGGCCAGACAGCAAGTGGTTAAATGGTGGTTCACAAGGCCCAAGTGCTGTCACATCAGGATAGGGTGGGTGAGGAGAGATTTAGCCCCATGAAAGCTTTGACTTACAGCTTAGAGAGGACTCCTTATTGGTCCTAAGAAACTAAAAGGGAGGTTGGAGAAGTTCACAATCAGTAATAGAAGGGGTGTGCCATCAAACAAATCTACTATTTAGGGCAGTATGAGCAAAGTAAAGGTTAACTACAGAGCCAAATCATATCTCCAAATAGAATCTATTTAGCCTTATGTTAGAATGGTGCCTGCTGATTAAAATGATCCTTTATCTTCGAACTTACCCATTATACTGTCATCCTGCCTTGTCTTGTACCCTATTGTTGATGTTCTTAAACTGCCTTTCTAAGCACTTTCTTCCATTGCCTAATGTATATAAGGATATGTGTTTAAAAGTGAATTTACATGGATTTTTATTAAATATATATTTGAAATAAATGGCTGATATAATTTTACTTTCTGAATGTGTGATTGCTTAATTTTAGTATATGGTAACTTCAAACAAAAGTTAGAAAATTGGCCAAATGAAACATTCTGTTGATACCCTCATCAATCAGATGGTGGAACAGATCACTGTAGGAGTTTATTAATGGCTTTTCTTGAAGGGGATGTAGATATGTAAAATTTGGGAAACTTTCAGGCCCATCTAGATGGAAATCAAGTATCCCCCACTAAAAACAATATGATTTATGGCAACACAGTGGCTAAGTGGTTAGCACTTCTGACTGGCAGGCAGTATTAGGGTCGTTGGTTCAAATCCCAACCATGGCACCACCTCCCTGAAGTTTGCATGTTGTGCCTGTGTGGGTTTCCTCTTGGTACTCCCAGTTTCCTTCCACACTCCAAAGACATGCTGGTAGGTTAATTGGATCCTGTCTAAATTGGCCCTAATATGTGTATGAATGCAAGTTAGAGACTTTAGACTGGACACCCTTTCAGGGTTAGGGACTGATGTGAATGTGCAATATATATGTAAAGCACTGTGTAAATTGACAGCGCTATATAAGTACCTGTAATAAATAAATTTCTGCTATAATGACAATGGATTTACTATGATGAGAATGATTTATTGGGGTTATAGACATCCTCTAATTTACCAAAACAAAACATTTTTGTTTTTGACTATGCTGCTGTTGGAGGAAACTGCTGTCTCTAGCATAGCAAATCCGACTTTGAAATCATACGACTTCACTTGAATTTGCACGATTTCAAACTTGGATATCAGTGTGACTTCATGCACAGATGTCTATGCAAGTCACACCTGAACTTTCAAAAAGTAGTGCATGAAACAAACGAACAATAGGGTGCAATGATCAAATCACATGACAATTCACACCAGTGTGACCAAGGACTAAGGAGCCCTGGGTAGCAATATAAACCGAACATGGGTCCAATCCTTTACCACTCTATCTAAAACTAAAAATAAGATGTAGTCTAAACTTATATTTTAAGTGTAAAACTAGAGAAAAAGAAATGGGGACACTTCTAATATTAACCAGCCTTGTACGTCTTTCACTGTACATAAATAATCCTATTAACAATTATCTACATAAAAGGATTGATTTACTAAAGGCAAAAAGGCTGTTCAGTTTGCCTGGGAATTTCCCCTTGCATCGGTGAATGAGGTGAAGCTCTTCTGACTACCATCATTCAATCTTGTATAAGCAAAAATACTGCTCTTTTGTCTTTCTTGCACATGACTGGTTACTCTACAAAGTGAATTTTTGCCACATTCACCAAACTAAGTAGACATTCTCTTGCAAAGTGAGCAGTCAGTGTGTTTGTGGTGTTACTGAACAAACATTGACATTCCTTGTGGGCACTGATAGTATGGCTTCTGAAATATGTTCTTTTTAAGCATCAACAATTTATTCCAAATGGTATTTTAATTTAGGATTAATTCATGACTTTTTTTTGCACCTAAGTCAGAAATGATTTATTGCATTTAAAGCGGAGTTCCACTCACACTGTAAAAAAATAAGTCAGCAGCTACAAAAACTGTAGCTGCTGACTTTTAAAAAACAGCCACTCACCTGTCCCAGGATCCTGCAGTGTCCTCCCCGCAGCCCGTTTCCCCAGCCATCTGGTGTTCCAGGCGCCGGCATCTTCAGTGTGGGCACCTGGCTGTGACAGCTTGCTGCTTCACAGCCTAGTGCCCACTGCGCATGGGCGAGTAGTGCTGCACTTCATGAATGGCCCTGTAGTCTTCTGGGAACTGTAACGTGTCCCAGAAGACTACGGGGAGGGAGGGTAGGAGGACAACTTCCGCTTCCGATCACCTAGGCGATCGCTGCAGAAGTGGGAGCGGGTACCTGTCAATTTCGGGTACCCGCTCCCCAAGGGTACCAGTCTTTAAAGCGAAACTTCCCCTTTTGGGTGGAGCTCTGCTTTAAGCCCAACTCCAGTTTGGGTGCTTTCCCACCTGCTATCCTAATTTTGTTTATGTTTCTGCATACATACCTGTTCCATGGGTCCTTGGTCAGGTCATGTATTGTTGTGGGTCTTCCTCCACTGGAAAAAAACAGCACCTGAAGAAGAGAAGTGTTGAGAAGGGTACCAGTGCTGGAGCTTGGAGCAATGAGTTTGTGATGAGTATGGAAGAGAGAGCTGTTTTTTCTTTAGTTTTAATAAGTGCTGAACAATTTATTTTTTTTAGCTTTTAACTGGATTTAGGTTTTAAAATACAGTATTGTTGTTGTTTTTTTAATTTGTATTCATTAGACATCCAATATTTTGTTTCACAGTAACACAGGAGTGGAGTTGAGGCTGGCAGCTAAGCATTCTTTGTTACATGTCTAGAAGTATACAATAAATATACTGTTAATATAGAGATGTGTTAATCACCTCAAGTCCCGACACTTTTATCCTCTTTTAGTCCAGGACAATTTTCAGCTTTCAGCACTGTCACACTTTGGGTACAGCATTGCATGCCTGACTAATTGCCATTCAAATAAAATGTATATACTTTTTTTTAGACAGATAGTGCTTTCCTTTGGTGGTATTTAATTACCACTGGATTTTTTATTTTTTGCTATATAAATGAAAAAACCCGGAAATTTTGAAAAAGAAACACTTTTTTTTTAGTTTGTCATAAAAATATGCAAATAAATAATTTTGCTTCATAAATTTAGGCCAAAGTGTATTCTGCTACAATTCTTTGGTAAAAATAACCCAAATCAGCGTATATTATTTAGTCTGTGTGAAAGTTAAAGAGCCTAAAAACTATGGTAGGTAGCAATGAAAATTGATCAATACTGATGTACTGACTGCCATCCTATTTCTTAAGGCCCTAAAATACCAGGACAGTACATATACCCCGTATATAACCCATTTTTGGAAGGTAGACAGTCCAAGGCATTTAATACCAGGCATTGTGAAATTTTCATATTTTTGTCACACTTTTCTGGAAAATGAAAATGAGAAATAATTTTTTTTTTCACAAAGTTAGCATTTTAACAACTTATGTTTTTCACACAGGCATACTTATCATTAATTTTGCACAGTCTAGATGCTTAGAGGAGCCCAAAATCCAAGGAGCACTTTTGGGCCTTCAAGGAACATGAATTGCAAAAACACAGTGGCTAAATAGTTAGCACTTCTGCCTAGCAGCACTATGGTTGTTGGTTTGAATCCCAACCACAGCACCAACTGCCTGTAATAAATCAATTTCCTCACTACCTATCAGTTTTTTGGAGTTTCTCGAGCACCAGGACGATGGAAACACCTACAATATGACCACATTTTGGAAAGCAAACACTCCAAGGTATCTTCTGAAAGGCATTTTTGAAAATGTAATTTTTTGCCACTAGTTTTTGGAAGATACAAAAAAAAAAAACTTTTTTTTTTTTTACACGCAGTTGTCAATTAACATGATAATTCTAACAAACAGCATAGACATACTTAGAAATACCATCTCAAGCATATTATGCTATTTCTCCCAAGTGTGGTGATACCATATGTGTGAGACTTTTTCACAGTCTAGCCATACAGAAGGGCCCAAAATCCAAAGAGCACCATCAGGCTTTCTAGGGATATAAATTACACATCTAATTTTCTTGCAACCTATCAGTCTTGGATGCCCTAGAGCACCAGGACAGTAGAAACACCCACAAAATGACCACATTCTGGAGAGTAAACACTCCAAGGTATTTTTTAAGTGACATAATGAGTCTTTTGGAGACTTCATTTTTTGCCACAAATTTTTGAGAAATGTGGAAACAAAAAGAAAATACTTTTTTATACAAAGGTGTCCATTGAAAAGGATGTTTCTCACACACAGGTTGAACACACTTAGAATTACACCCCAAAACACATTTTACTACTCTTCCTGAGTATAGGGTAACCACATGCATGAGACTTTTTCATAGTCTAGTCACGCAGAGGGGCTAATTTCCTGACTACCTATCACATTCAGGCCCTGGAGAACCAGGACAATGGAAACAATTGGGGACGATTGCTGACACTGGTATGGGTATGGCAGTGATCAGGACACTGTTATGGTAGTGATCAGGACACTGGTATGGGGTATGGCGATGATCGGGACACTTGTATGATATACAGTGGTGATCAGGATGCTGGTATGGCATATGGCAGTGATCAGGACGTTGGTTTGGGGTATGGCGGTGATTAAGATACTGGCATGGTGTATGGCAGTGATCAGGACGTTGGTTTGGGGTATGGTGGTGATTAAGATACTGGCATGGTGTACAGCAGTGATCAGGACGTTGGTTTGGGGTATGGCAGTGATTAAGATGCTGGCATGGTGTACAGCAGTGATCATGTCACTGGTAAGGTATATGGCAGTGATCAGGATGCTGGTATGGGGTATGGCATTGATGTGGATGCTGG